AATAAATGATAATACATCAGTAAACCACTAGCAGCCGAGGAGTGATTTAAAGGTGTAATATTATTACGTGCCAGGACTTTTTGAGATGAATACGATGTACTGAACAACTTTTAGTATGGGCGCAACACTTCACGAAAAAAATAATCAGCTGATCCACCCCACGAAGTCCTGGCACATAATACACCTTATATATAAATTTCTCCTTTATAATATTTATAATGGTTTTCGACGCATCATTCGTCCTGTTGTTGTACCCACTGCTGGGGCACAGGACTTCCGAATGGATGGAATCGTATCCAAAATGGAGAATAGGCTGTTAGCCATCACGCGGGCCCAGCGCGGGTACTAGTGGGTTTTGAAGACTGCAGACGCAGCAGGGACCAACGGCTTAACATGCCTTCCGAAGACCCCTATCCTATGACCGGCACGTGAGCATTCCTTCGTATTTATTAGGTTTTCATTTATTCTTAAATGATTGAAAAAATATTCTAACGCTATTAGGAATATGCTCACAAGTGCTTGAAAAAATCGTCAGTCCTGTTGGATCTCGGGAACTTAATGGTAAGAGTATTCGCCCGTGTTGCGAAAGGTTGTAGGTTCGAGTACTGTACTAGATTTTTAAGTATTTTTGGCGTAATATATTCTAACGCTAATTCAGTGCAATAAAAGATCATCTAAACTAATGTTATTGTCTTCAGAAATATTGATGCTATAATGAAAATTCTTTCACCTAATAGAAGCTACATAATATGGTGACATCGAATTCAATTCACGCAGGCCAAGTCACGGCAAAAAAGTTTGTTTTTCTACATTCTCTAGATTCGTTTTTCTTTACCATTATGATGTGAAGCCCAAGTTTTTTGATACATTACATAAGACAGCAGCTACGTTTAGTGTTTTTTTTTAAGCTAAGCACATCGTAAACTTTGAATAATTTAAACAACCGTAGATGCTCAAATGGCGCTTTTTTTATTATTTAATTTTTTTGAAACGTCTAGGTTTCACATTTTAATGTTTCAGGTCGTTGTCGCTTCTGAATGATGTCAGACGGACGTACAAATGATCGGACAAATATGTGACGTATGCGAAGTAAAAAAAAAAAACAAAACAATGCCATTGTGTCATTCGTCAATCGCAAATGTATCGGGCATACAAAAATATATGTGCAACGACAAATTTTAAGTATGAGACAGACGTAAAGGCAATTAATAAATATACTTATTTATATAAAACAAAGGTCACTCCAACGTATATTACAATGACAGACAAAACATATATTGTTACATGGTTTGAGCCTATGCAGGGAGTACCTAATACGAAAAAAAAACTAATTTTTCACCTTTTTTCATTTTTTCATGTGATGTGTCTGTAGTAGATGAAAATTTTTCAAACCACACAATCACAATCAGCCCTTTTACGTCCCCACTGCAGGGGCTCAGGCCTTCCTTATGGATGGTTAAGGAGGATGGGCCATGACCCTCCACGCTGGCCCAATGCGGATTGGAGGGTATTAACGACTGCAAATGCAGCCGGGACCAACGGCTTAACGTGCCTTCCGAAGCACGGAGTAGCTCGAGATAATAATGTTTTTGGTCACCCAACCCGTGACCGACCCTTGCGAAAGTTGCTTAACGACAACGATCGCGAGCCGCGGCGTTTGCTTATTAAATTCAGCTTAGCATTTGAAAGATATGAAAATATCACGTTTCTTGTATAGGAGCCCCCGTTAAATATTTATTTTATTCTGTTTATACTATTTGTTTTTATATCGGCAACAGATATACATCATCTAAGGAAGTTTCAATTGTCTCACGGTAATAGACGCACAGACAATCGGACGGACGGACAGCAGATTATTTAGTAATAGGGTACCATTTTTTTACCTTTAGGTACGAAACCCTAAAAAACAGCACACAGGATATATTTCAGAAGTTTCTATAGCACCTGTTCATCAAGTTGTTTAGTAGCAACTAAAATTTCAATCGACTCTTACTAAAAAAGTAAAATTTACTAGAGTACGAGTATCATTATGCATGATTTATATACAACTTCGCAGAGTCACCGTAGTGTCTTCTTTTCAAGCACATATTTGTCTAAAGTCTAGAAATTAAACAACTTAATGAAAAAACTACTTAAAAATATAGTATTCTTAGTATAATATCATATTCGAGCATCTTTAACTGTAAACTTTTCAATTGGAGATGAATGTATGCTACAATAATTAACGTGTACTCATTGACACGAGCACGCTAAACGCTGCCACGATAAAAATTAGCAAACATCGAAAAGTGCAAGATATTTTCACGTAAAAATTGAAAAATACACGCATTATTTTATAGTTGATGCCGAACTCGAGCATTTATTTGAGCTAAATCCATTTAAACTTGTAAATGGTATCAAATAACGGAGGATGATCTATTTCTCCTACTTTCATAAATAATATAAAAAGTATTTATCTCCAAATTCATTAGCCTATTTACATAACACCTCGTTTGTCACTAGTTTCGTCAATTTCTCCAGTGGTTTTGGAACAAATCAACTGTGCTGTGAAAGATAAACCCTTGACTGATCCTATAAAGGTTCTTGTTTTTCCTCCACAGATACAGAACAGAAACCTTCTTTGTCATATGCATGCAGCGCTATCTTGCTGCCTCCAAGGACCTACCCGATTTACCGTTCAGACGGGTCCAAGGAGGCCATTAAACCTCTGTCGTATACCTCATCTAGAGGATGTAGCTAAACTACAGCCAAGCACAAATTCCCCTTAAAATAACCGTCGGTCGGATCGCAGGCGGGGGGCTCACCTACACCAGAGAGAGATCTCTATCTCTCCCATATATCAGAAGGTTTTCTAACCCTAAAAATATTATTTAATTTAATGTTTTTCTTTCAGTTTCTCAATATAGGAAATCACAATAATAGCTTGTATCAATATTAAATACACCGCGTCCCGTCTCCGATGTCTCCTTTGGTGGCATAAAAGTTGCTAATTGATTGTTTTGACATCAGGAAAGGCGTCACGTGGTCAACACAGTAGCCAGGTGTATTATTACAATCGACGCCGATCAGTATCAGCACATCAGCGATTTGGCAAAACGTGCGCGACTTGCTCGATTGGCCAACGATTGAAGTGAACATAATGACATTAAATATATGTAATGCAATCATAAATATTATGAATTAAATGTAGCAGCGATAGGAATAGCGGAAGTGAATATTCGTCAAATCCATCGACTCGAGATGATACAAAAAAGTTAATTTCTATATAAACCTCAAAAACGGTAGCAATTGAAACAGACTCTTGTTGTAACAAAATGGATTCCACCCATTCCAGAGTTACGGAGGTCATATTTCTCAAAACAAGCTAGCCAGCTGAGGAATTCTTCTTTACTAATTTTATTCGTTTTATTTGTAGTCTCAAATACTTTGAGGCAAATTAAAGACAATTCGTGAAGTTTGACATTTATTTTCGCACGTTCATAATTTACGCGTGCAATAAAAGGTATATCGAGAGACAAGACCTGACACTTGTCTCGAATATATCCACGACATTATGCAAATAACACGTGAACAGCGATATGTCCCCCAACATGTGACCCCACAATAAAAACTCAAATCCCGTTGTTGGTCACAATAAGTTTCATATTTAAGGTGAGCGCTTACCACCCAACGCTGTCAAGATAACTTTGTGTACGCATTATCTCCGTCATTTTACGCGATAATGTGCACAGATATTGCCAAAATCGTTGTAATAACAAGCAAGGTTAAAAAAGGCGAAATCGATCGGTGTAATTAGAACCAAACGAGCGGCAAACATATTGTGAGCATTTCAATATTATTTTCTGGAAACGATAATTGTTTTTAATGCTAATAAATTTCCGATAATTCGAGACGATATTCGATCAGAATACTATAAATTCACCAAAAGCATACCTCGGCACAAACCGACGAATAAAAGAAAAACAAAAAGGCGCTGACATTTAAATGGACGTGTGATATACATATATGTGAATAATCTAAATAATTCAAAGTCGCGAAAAAGTTTTTATTTTGAAATACATCAAAATCATATGATCATAAATAACCGTTCGGCCATCAAATTTTCATACGTTGTGTGTGGCATACAAAATGCATCTTTCAAATGAAGACGAATATTTATTGTCCGGTCCGTGATAATAACCGCGCAACAAACAGCATAAAAAGGACACCAAACAAAAAACGGATATTATGTCGTGTCTCGAATATCGCGAATTGGTAATTACCCCTTCTTCGATTCCGTTTTATGATCGTTCAATAAAGTTTGGGGTGCAATTAGACAAGTGAATATGCAGTGCTGGAGCACGTTTTACAATCTGCAGATAAAAGATGTTAATTGGACATATTATACCTTAGCTTTACGTCAGAAAGGATCAAATACGAAAACGCTTCAACAATTTAAGATTTAACGTCGTATTTTTTTGGGCTGTGCCAGCACTGATTTACGGTTAAATAATTTTTTTATCGGTATTGAAATATTCAATCATTAAAACCTTTGATGGCTCAATGTTAGATTATTGGGCATTAAATCTTGCCTCTTATAAAATCAAAAGTAAGAGCAGCCTTTATTTTAAATCTAAGTGTTGGTAGAAATATTATTACTTGCAAGAGCCGAGTAATGAAGTGGCTACCCTTGCTATTTATGGTGTCGCCGTTTACGAGATAAGAACCTCTCTAGATTATCACGTGTCTAAACGACTGGAACGCCTACATTCTTTTCGATTCCTATGACACAAGTGACTCATTTAGAAAAGGAACAACTTGTGTCATTTTATTTACTTAAGATTTTCTCATATAATAAGCTGGGAACTAAACTAACGTGATTTTTTTGAATTTCAATTATTTGTTTTTACATTGGTCATCAAGAATCTTGAGGTTAGAAAGCAGATACGAGTAAGTTACAGTAATTAGAATCATAAAAAAATAACCAGTAATAGATCAAGTTGTCAATTTTTTAACCTTACCTCAGATTTATTTCCGGGGGCTCTAAATCTGAACACGGGTGGTGAATATGCTAGGGCGGCTTTAGCAGCCGAAGCTAACTGCACAGCTCCCAATGCAGCTCTGTTGCCTTCCGCGCAGCTGTTGGGAGGACCTCTCAACTCCTCTATTTCGGCGCCTAGGAGTTCGTTCCTCAATAAGCAGCCATACGCCAGGTGGTCCCGACCGCCGCCTGTGCCATCACCGGTTGTGCCATCACCACGCGCCTTCTTGGTGGGCTGATTTTCTGTACCTCTGCGGATCGCTAGACAAAAAAGGAGCTCATTAGTTTGGTTGAATAGATAAATCTATAAATTGTTTAAAACAAAGTTGCTTTCCGCTGTCTGAACGCCGAGAGAGAAACTACACCACGGATTTCACTGCGGTTTTCATTAAATTACAAAGTGATTCAAGGCGAAGATTTCTATGTATGTTTATTTATTTATTCTATGTATAAATAAATACAGGACCACGCGGCTAGTATACATATACTTATGATCGGATTCCAGAAAGCATTTAAATGTAATATGATTTTACACAAGGTCTATCTATATTTAGGAAACTTTGGCTTAGTTTAACATTCAATGCACACCAGCAATAAATGGTGCACCGATGTTGTCACTTGCCATTTAAAATAGGGACAAAGTGGCAACCAGTCGCCCACGTGAAGCAAAATACAAAACCCATTCGGGTTAATCCAGCATAAATCTTAAGTCAGCGAGGGAATCCACAGAAAACTTTGACAAAATTAAAGTGACATTGTTCTTTTCATTTTTTCATCTAAATCAGCGTGAAATGTATAGATATATAGCAAATAATAAAACAGCGATATTAAAAAACACACTGGATATAGATGAAAAATAATAATGACAAATAATCGTTAGTCTATTCGAAAGATCATAATTTTTATTAAAACAATAACGTGAACCGTATAACCAGTCCATATATAACTATTTCGAATACGCACGAACCGAGGCGTGACCTGTCAAAACCATATGCGCTGGCGCGTGCCATGTGACTCACTTAGAGAAAAAAAAAACGATATTTATAATGTCTATGTTGTGGTTGTGACAATGCTCTCAGACTAGTGAATAACTAATGAGCTGATGCAAAATATGCTGAAGATAAAGAAGCTTAACAAAAGATTAAAAGAAACTATAGATACTAATAGATACAAAATACAGATTAAAAACTTGGGATCAGATTTGTTTCTGCTACATACACATAAAAGTTTGAAAAAACGAATGAACTAAGCACTTCATAATAACAGAGTAACAATTTTGTCGCGCAAAAACTTTGAAGGTATCCTTTTTTACAAAGGTTACGCCATCGGAGGAACACAAAATTTAACAAAAATCAAAGTTTATTTATATGGAGAATATTTACTATATAATGATAATGCATTTATGATTTTTAGTCTTGTTCATCTCATAATGTGTGTAAATATTTAAAATATAAATTAAAATAAGAGGTATGTCTACTATTGGACGAATATTAATAAAAAGTTGTAGGTTATTCAATTAAGATTAATTGATTCCCAACTCAATCAAAAACTAAAGCATGCACTCGCAAGAAAGATGGAATTGAACGTTGAAATTATCAAATTCCAAAAGAATATATTATAAATTACGCGATCATCAATTTTCATTTCCTCCGATTCATCCACACAATCACCTGACTGATTCGTTTCGATAAATAAATCCGAAATAATCGCAATAAAGGGTAAATGCTCGCATGAGTGACAACATGTTAATGGGCGTGCACCTTCGCTAACGATCCTCAGCCATCACTGTCAGAACATGTGGCCAGAGATGATTTTGCATCGACCTGGGAGAGATTGCCAAAAATATACCACTTCCTTTGATCGAACTAACAGAAGAGCACCGGTGAATCATTAAACACAAAATAAACTGCAATCCTTAATAGTGACTCAAGGGTTAATACTACAATGCATGCAATATAAAGCACGCTTAATACTAACTGATAGATTGTATTTACTGTTCCGGAATGGTAAGGCGAAAAGAGCTTTAGTACTTCCATATTTACTCTTACATAACAGGTAGAACAGAACAAGCCGGTCAAAGCCTGTCCTCAAAATTATAAGAGCGACCGCATCTTCTGAACTCGTTAAAAAAGACCTTGAAGCAATGCTCCCACCGTTTGCGCGATACATTTACAAAATACCATTTTTAACGAATAAAGCTCAGAATGCCGACTTATTTGCAGACTCACTGGCCACATTACAAATTAAATTACTTGTTAATAAATTCTGAGATAATAATAATTAGGTAGCACATTATCTGATGCCACCTGCGTTATTATTCTAATTTGTTTTCTCTTAACCTTCTTAATTTTATGCTTCTTAACTGTCAACGAATTGGCGTATAATTAAAGACGAACTTTTATGACATAAAATATGAGTGATATAGTGTTCTCAAGTTACACATCATGTAACGATCGGCAACTCCCAGTGAATATTATATTTGTTTTCAAATTAGAAAAACAAAACTTATTTATATTACCGTTCGCCTTATCATAACTGACATTGAATAGTAATTTAGTAAAGAACATGATAAAGAAAAACAAAGATGTTATTATTTCACAACGTGCCACGGTGGTATCTAAACATTTTGTAGGTCGTTGCACTTCTCATTGCAGCAGAACGGACGTCGGAAGTTTCCGAATTGCATTACAAAAAGTTATAACTATTCTCCGCGAGTCTTGTCATGATATACCTGAGTTCAATCACACCTCTTCCTTCCCGAAGGACGTCCATACAAGGAGTGGACATCGTACTTAGAGCTATATTTGGCGAGGTACGTGACAAACGATTGGACCAATGTGCGTAATTAATTCAGACTGCTCACCAAATTTGTAACATCCGAATGGAACAAAATATATGCTGAATCCTAATGGCATCAGAGTTGAATTTGCCTAGATATAATAGATGGAACCTAACCGTCGTTCGCAAGGTCTACACCTACATGGAAACTGCCCACATCCAATTTTTGAACCCAATAGAATACCGACGATGGCCTTAATTCGGGACTTGAATCTGTTTGCCTCGAGCACGTTTTAAAATCGCTAAAATAGAAAACGAATAGGGAGCATATTATGTTCAAATGTATTACAAAAAGTTAAGTAGTTGTTAGAATTCCGAATGATAAGACACAGTCCTAAATCTAAGGTAAAAGATAGGCATTATCAAATGGAATCCTCACAAGTGTGTCATACACCACACTACTTCTTGTTATCGTAATCACGTCACTCGGAAAAACATTCCAATAATGGCATTGTTTGGGCTATTTGTCATGTAAAGAAATGGAAGACATTTTTTTTTCATATAAACTTTTGTACATTATAATAAAATACGATAGAATACCAGAGAAACCGCTCTAATATATGTGAAATATATATGTACTTTTGCGAACAGTATTCATTCAACTGCACTTCGTCTATAAACTTTTGGTATTTCTATTAAAAAGATAATTTTAGGAAAATAAATTAATAAATATCGTAAGATAAAACCTGATATTCCTAGCACAGGTATGTAGTACCTAAACATAATAAAACGATAACGTGACCTGGATTTAGTGCCGCACTAACCAATAGCAAATATAATAGCGCTACCGAACTACTCCCATTCACCGTACTGTTGTTAGTTGTATATGAATAGACGTATGAAATAGTCATACACAACTATGCTATTATGTTAAAAATAACTTATTGAAGGTTTTATTTGATTGAACAGCTAATGCTTCGTACAATGATATATCCATTTTATAATAAAATCCGGCCAAAGAATTATGTAATTCGGAAAAGATGGGTAACCACTGTAAAACTTTATTAAATTTATTTTTTATGACGTAAAACTTACATTTGAATTTATTAATTACATATAAAAATAAATTTATGAAAAACTAAGTACAATAAACCAGTAAGTGTGGGAAATCTTTACTTTGCATACAATAAAAACATATCTTTATAGGTTGTAGAATTTGATGAAGTATAAATATACAGAATTGCCAGCCAAGAAAATCCTACAATTCCACGACAAGTCATTACAAGTAACATTGGAACTCGAGAATCGTGCGTCATAGATGATGATAATAATAAAAATGATGCTTATAATCCGTCTGAATTAATGCCATAATAATGCACACCTCAAGCTAGTAGATAAATTACATAAACATCGAGAACAATATACTTGCCTGCGTTTAAACTGTGGCTGGCTGGCAACCAAGAAGCAAATTAGCCAGCAACATAAAACTACAACGAAATTAACATTTACACATTCAATAATCTCGAGACTGTAGGGTAATAAGTCTAGACTCTCCAATTCTCATTAGGACGTTAGATCTAAGGCTATGTCAGTAACGGTAAATGCAACGTCGAGTGCATCGCAAACAGATGACTGCATCTTGCACAGCACGTTCAGAGTTCCTTAACCTGAGACGATATTATCGAGAGTAATATAGGCTCGTATAAACAGAGTCTATTGTTAAAATTATCGGTGCACAGTATTACTTTCATAATGCATCTGTTATCGAATGGGTCCTGCTAACTTATCGAATGACCCGACTTGGCTGATTGTTCAAAATTACGTCAGATACGTGCGACGACAACGCCTTCCAACAATATATTCTTTGGTATTGAGTCAGAGCTGATAATTAGTCCTTAATAAAAACCTTTGTATTTTTTGTCTGCTCACAGTAGACAATTGAAATAAATAAATTCGCAAATTGCTATTCCAATACAAGATATACGACCTACATATTAAAATCTATCCATTAAATAAACTATAAAAAAATATTATTATAAGTATAATGTAGTATAAATTGCGATCCACTAGAATATAATAATAATTAATAAAAACGCAACGTAGACTACGTTTATGACGTACACCAACTACAAAAAACAATGTCAATGTCCCGTGATGTTGAACCATCAAAAGCTGAAGAACGATCAAGTAAACTATGGATAGCTGCGCCGGCGCACCGTGGAAAACGGAAAATATAACCGCGAACTAAACACGGAGCGTTGAACTGTGGTAGCAATAACTAAGCACCGAGCAGGATTCAGATATTCCCTCACCGACACACCAGGCTGCATTTCACAATTTATATATTCCTAAATAATAAACGTATCCGTAAAAAAATATGCAAGACTATATTAGTTTAATAGTACCTACAGACAAAATAATTCTTATATAGTGTAGACCAGTAGGAATAAATGGTTTCATCGTCACGCTATTAGACATTACGA